TATATATATATATATATATATATATATATATATATACTGTATATGTTGCTGTTTTAGAACAGTTTTGAGATGGTCGTTTGATCCCATATGGTCAAATGGTTTTCTACATGTGGAGAATGTCATAAATGTATGTTTTGTTTTTTTTCCTGTAAGGGAATTAAACCTAACACCAAAACCTTTGTGGAGATGCTACTGTGATTTGTTTTAGTTCACCTTCATCCCTGGTAGCCCAGCCAATCCTCGAGGTCCAGCAGGACAGGCAGCGGGACACTGTGGGCATGCACACAGTCAGATACACAACAAGCATGTTTGCTGCACAGGCTCTTTGCTATTCACCACTCCCATTGGCATGCATTCAAGAAACATTTGGCAGACAGTAGAAGACTCACAGCTTCCCCACTCCCCTCACTGTTGGCACCGGGTGGTCCCTAAAACACAGCACATGGACATCTAAAACAACGGGTTTAGATGTCCTCAGAAGTACCCCACACCCCAAAAACCTTCTGTTTTAATGAATGTGTAATTAGAAAACACCACACGCATCATCACCCCACAGGGATTTTGTAGATCAGGAATGATCGTAGTATGTTCAGGCAGAGACAGGAAGTATAAAAGAGTTGTGGTTTCAGATGCAGAACAGAAAGTTGTCCATTTTGTCAACTTTGGCATGATCAGAGTCAGAGTCAGAGTCAGAGTTTCTTTATTGTCATTCGCACCTCATGTGGTACATGTGGTGGAGCGAAATTATGTACACACGGTCCCACTACACTCCTACTACTACTAGGTCTACACAAGGATGCAGTGAACATTGTGGAAATAGCACACCTGCCACAGACTCTTGTCCGTGGATTGTTAAAGTCTGCTTCTGATACAGGTGGAAGCCACATTAAAGTTAATGGGATAAAAAAAAATAATTTGAGCACAAACTGATGTTTGAGCTCTTTGTATTACAAATATCATTTTGTTACAAAAATTTCATGCACAAAAAATAAATAAATAAATAAATAAAATGGACAGGATAGCTTCCAAACTAGTCTCCGCAGTTGTAATTAAAAAAATGATCATTTGCTTTTTATTTTTGGTTAAAGTTTCTAGGATCCACTGCAGAGGCACCAAAGAGCTGCATGTGGTACCAGAGCCACCTCTTGCAGACCGCTGGCGTAACTTTACAAGAAGCTTTTGATGAAATGAGAAGATTTGGAGGCACAGTTATCTCATTTTAACAGCATCAGCCAAAGTTGACAGTCAGGAGCAGGAGCTACTGCATTCAGGCACACAATAAAATATTTAAAGCCAACCACTAAATGTGTGGTGCTTCACTATGTAAATATAAGACAGGATAATAAACCAATAATGGGGTTGAGCTGATTCTTACCACAGGCCCTGGTGGACCAGGTGGACCAGGAGGTCCTGAAACACCAGGACCTCCTTTGGGTCCAGGTGGACCCTGCAGTTACACACAGAAGAAGAACATTATTAACAAATTAGTTGTTTAAATAGGAAAACACATGATTTGAAGAAAAGCTGATTATTGATTGCTTGGGTTTGTGTGTTTATTTGTTTGTCTGTTATTAAAATATATCAGAATAACATCTTGAAGAAAGTAATCAGTGGACATAACACCTTTGGAGAAACTGCCCTAAAATTTGGTGTGGTGGTAGCTGAGACTGATCTCCAACACAACTTCTGAGCACAAACTACACAAGAACAGTTTGAAGAACTTCTGGAGTCAGCTTTGTTTGGCTCATAGCATGTCTCACGTACTACATTCGTTCAACCTTTATTTCTACACGTTAGTCTCATTGAGCGTCCAGGATTTATTTACAAGAGAGACCTGATTTAAACAGAACACAGATGAGGAACAAACAATAGACAATCATATAAAAGCTAAAAAAATTTAAAGTAAAAAAAAATATAT